CAACCAGCTGCTCCGAGGGAGAAAGATAAGGCGTTATCTATTCTCATAAAGAGTCACAGTACGGAAACCCACAGGGGCAATTCTACCCTGTCCTATAGGCTCTCGCTATGAGTCAGCATGGACTCCATGAAAGTACTGTGAATGACTAGCTCCACGTCACAGGCTCATGTCACCAGAGACCGAGGCCTTCTGTCATGGGAGAAAGATACGGTGGAGCAAGGGTCATAGGCTGCCCCTTGGACAATGGCATTCGGTGCCTCACCTTTAGCCAAGTGCACGTGTGAGTCCCAAGACTACGGAAACCACCCCCTGTGCTTGCTCTGTTGGCACAGTGGAAAATCTCAGCTGGCAGCACTGGACCACCTCTGCAGTGCTGCTCAAGTTAAGCCTGGGGGCGTCAGCAAAGGGACAGAAACAGCAAATAGGGATTGTGTGTTTGCTCCGTGCTGTGGGCCACAAGCAGTACAAAAAGGGGTGGAACACGGCCCCTGACTTCCCTCAAAGAGGTGACAATATACTTTTGCAAATTAAAAATGAAATCAGCAAGCCTTTGAACCACAGCTCAGCACACCAGCAGCCAGGGGCCATGAGGCAGGAAATGATTAACTGGAAAATGATTGGTACAGGCTGTAATTGGTGTTGAGAAACATGCACTCACCCACCCTGCTCTGGGCTTTCCAAGTTGACTTATTCTAAAGGGCACTGGGAAAATCTTTCCATTTGCATCCTAGCGTGAGTCAAGATGGTGTTTCTTATGCCCAAGCTGCCTGGTGATTACAAGGGGCCCAGGGGACACAATCCTTAGCACTCAATGGCCAAGTGTAGGTCAGGTCGTTGGTGGGAACGTACCAGTGACTCCTCAGGAGCAAGGCCTGGGGACCCGATTCCTTAAAGATTAGGCCTTGGAATCTGCATAGAGTTTCTCCCTGCCCCGTATGGTTCTCTGAGCAGATGTCAAATCAAAGACAGCCAACAACTCGGGCCCCTGTTACAGGCCCACACATGGGTCCCTGTGTCACACAACACAAGCAAAGACGTTGGGAATCAGATGGGCGTTTGTTGAGAAAACTCACTTCTGTGATGTCCTGTCAAATTCCAAAGGGAGGGATCAAGGGGCCAGAAGGTTGTCTTGTGAATGACTACGTGTTCACCCAGGTAGCCCATGTTAAAAGTGCATGCCAAACAAGCCTGGGGTGCTATTTTTACAGGTGCACGATGCCCGTATAGTTTTGTCTGTCACTGACTTCCCTTTCTTTCTTTTCTGTCCCATGAAGTTACTGTTGTCTTATCTTGGTGCCTGGTGGCGTGGAGGCCTGGCTCCCAGCAGCAGTCCCTGGAGTTTCTAAAACAGGATTTCTTCCCTGCCTTTCATACTGCTTTTTCCAAGGCAGGAAGAAATCACTTTTCTTATCCTGTCCCAGAAATGGCCCTCACTGGAGGCCATGACCTAATCCCAGGAGAAGAAACACTGCCGGGCCTGGGCTGTCCTCCCAATTGTTAGCTTGGAGCCCATTGTTGCAGCCTCTCTGTTGGCCCATCGCTTTGAAGGTCTTCATCTTTTTTCCCCTGACATCCTTCATTGCCATGCATGCTGTCCTTCTCCAGGGACTGGGCGAGCCCTTCCGATCGCATGTCCAAAGTAGGTGAACCCAAGTCTGGCCATCTAAATGGCATTCTCCTGCACTGCACCGAGACAGTCCACGGCACTTCCGTTCATCCTGACTGGCACCGGGACTCGGTGGCATCAAGTCCTCCCCAGTCTTCCTTATTCACTGTCCAGTTTCAAATGCGTAGGAGGCCGCTGAAAACACAGTCTCGGCTCAGGCGTGCCTTCCTCAAAGCAACATCTTTGCTCTTTAGCACCTTGAGAAGGTTTCCTGCAGCAGAGTTGCCAGTGTAATAACGTGTTGTTTGAGGTCTTGGCTGCTGTTCCCATGAGCATTGGTTGTCCAACCAAGTCTTGACAACTTCCATCTTTCCTCCATTTATCACGGTGTGACTCATCGGTCCAGTTGTGAGGGTTTAGGTTTTCTTTACATTGACCTGCAGTCCATGCTGAAAACATTGACTTCCGCCAGTAAGTGCTTCAAGTCCTACTTGTTCAACAGCAAGATCGTGTCATTGGCACATTCCAGGCTATCAATGAGCCTTTCTTCAATCCTGATGCAAGTCCTTCTTCATGAAGTCCAACTTCTCAGATTACTTGCTCAGCATACAGAGTAAGTATGGTGAGAGGATACACCCTTGGAATACATCTTTGTTCATTTTAAACCACACAGTATTCCCTGGTTATGTTCTCACAACTGCCTCGTGGTCTATGTGTTAGTCTGGGTAGACTAGAGACACAAATCCAGGGAGACTCATGTGTGTGAGAGAGAACTGTATATCAAAGAGAAATTGTATACTAAGAAACAACCCAGCCCAGTCCAAATCAAATCCGTAAGTCCTATATTAGCCCATATGTCTGATATTACTCCATAAATTCCTCTTTAGACTCACACAGCTATGCAATGATGCCAAATCAGGAAGATCACAGGCCAGGGAGTGAAAGATCTTGTAGATCCAGTGGCAGTGGAAGCATCTCAGTGCTGGCATGGGTCTCCACGTGGCTCCTCCAGCTCCAGGGCTCTGGCTCCATCAGCGTGTATCCATGTGGCTTGTCACCAGGAGTGTCTCTCAGGGAGAGTCTGTGTCCTGCCTCCAGGGAGGAAAACAGGATTTCCCAGAATCCTCAGGAGAAGGCCATGCCCACACAGAAGCCTCTTTGGCTATGACCTGATTGACAGGCTAGACTCCACCCCTCTGCTCACGTTGACAAGAGATGATGTAACTGCCAGAGTCTACATAAAGGTTCCTTGGGGGGCTCAACAAAGTCTTGTGGATTTCGCATTGTTCCCAGTGCCTTCCATAGTGTGTCAGAGCCACGTGTCCAAATGCCTGTGCATCGTCAGTAAAGCACAGATTAGCATCTTTCTGGTATTCTGTCCTCTCAACCAAGCTCTATGTTGTCACGTCATTCAATCATGAGATCAAATAAAAATGTGATTAACTTCACCCCCAACGTTTCCCCGTCTGGGCAACCCACAGGGGCAGTTCTTCTCTGTCCCAATGAGTGGCTGTGAATCAGAACTGACACGATGGCAGTGAGTCTGGTTCTTGGTTTATACACACACATACACTGTAGCTCTACATTGTATTGAGCAGGATATGCATCCCCCTTGATTTTCAGGGGAGCGCAGTGGTGAAGTGGTTGGCTGCTAACCAAAACCAGCAGTTCAAAGCACTAGCCACTCTTAGGGGTGAGGGGAAGACTGATCAGTTAGTCAGCTTCCATCGCCTTCCGGCCACGCCAACCCCATGGGAAGCTGGCCTCTCTCCGGGCCGGCGGCCATGAGTGGGAATGGGCTTGACAGGGGGGGCTGGGCGTTAGTGTTTGCTGGAAGCCCACTGGCCTTGATGGATAGGTTTAAAAGGCTGAATCATAGCCGAAGCCATCGTCAGGGGAATTGTTAGTGTAATTGCTAGGCATTTAGATCGGAGCATAACCTTCTAAATGGCAAGTGGATAAAATACACATTAGAGAGATAAGAGGATGTTCCGCTTGCCTCCCCCACCTCCCCATTGAAAACCCTGCTTACTCCCTAAATTGCCTGCCTAGGGGGTGGGGGTGGCGGGGGTGTTGAGTTTGGCAGGGAGCCAGGCAGAACCCCCGGAATGGAGCTCTGCAATTCAAGCCTGACATCCTCCAAGCGCTGCTGGCAAGGAAGGGCTTGCTGACGTCATCTCGGACGCTGTCAAAACTCCAAAAACCAAACCGCTTGCCATGAAGTCGATGCTGACTCCTAATGACCCTACAGGGCAGGATAGAACTGCCCCTATGGGTTTCCGGGACTGTAACTCTCTTTTTAAAATTTTTTTACTGTAACTCTTTACAGGAGTAGAAAGCTCAGTCTTTCTTCCAAGAAGCTGCCAGTGGTTTCGAACTGCTAACCTTGCTGTTAGCAGCCCAACTTGTAACCAGTCCACCACCATAGGAAAGAAAAGGAAAAATATATTTGAGGGCTACCATGTGCCTAAGGAGCCCTGGTGGTGCAGTGGCTAAGCACTGGTGGAAGACTGTCAGTTCGAACCCACCCAGCGGCTCCCTTCCTGGGAGAGAGGCTTGGCCATCTGCTCCCATGAGGACTACAGCCTGGCAGTTCTATGTGGACAGTTCTTCCCTGGCTAGGGGGCTTCTAGGGGTCTAAGTGGATTGCAAGCACTGTTGGGGGCATTTCCTACACAACAGCCCTCCCATTGACTGCGAGCCTGTTGAGAGCCAAGCACCACACTGGGGATTAGGCAGTGTCACTCGCCTGCTGCTGAGCCAGCTATTGGGATGCCCACTTCCCAGACAGACAGACTGTAACCCCCAGGCCACACAGCTAGTTAGTGACGATGTTAGAACTGACATGGGTGTCTTTCCGCTCTAGGTGCTGGATTCTCCCTGGTTCCTGCCCTGATTTGGGTGGTTTGTGGGGGACCAGAGGAGATTGGGGGTGTTGGGGTACAGGGGGAAGGGACTTCAATGACAATGACCCTTCTGATGGTGTCCTGTTCCCCATGGACATGATCTCACATCCTCCTCACTGCCTGGACCAGTCCCCCAGGTGGTATGGACCCGTGCCGCCCCCATGCGCATCAGAGAAGTGCTGTGCTCCCTGGAGTCGGAAGTGGATCTCCAGGCCTTTCTTCCAAATCCCCTCCACGTGGCCTCAAACATCCTACCGTCCAGTTAGCAATAGTTCATACCAACCATTTGCATGCCCCAGGGGTGCCGCCTCTGTGTTAGGTGGCCGTCGGGGTCATTGTCATCTTCACTTAACGAGTGAGGGGAGGGAACCTAGGAGAGGCCTGGGCCCCTAGCTGTTAAGTGGGAAGTCACGATGTGTGGGCCCCCGGGTGTGGCCCCCAGGTGCGTGCCGGGCCCTCACTGCCTGTGGGTGCTATGCTCTGTGCAGGTGAGATGGAGGAGCTGGAGACGCTGTGGCTCACGGGCATCTGCCACAACGAGAAGAACGAGGTCATGAGCAGTCAGCTGGACATCGACAACATGGCGGGTGTCTTCTACATGCTGGCGGCCGCCATGGCCCTCAGCCTCATCACCTTCATCTGGGAGCACCTCTTCTACTGGAAGCTGCGCTTCTGCTTCACGGGCGTGTGCTCTGACCGCCCGGGGCTGCTCTTCTCCATCAGCAGGGTCAGTACCCACCCCACCCCGTGCATGTGCCTGGCTCACTCACGTTGCCCAGCCGGCCGGTCTGCTGGTGGGAGGATAGAAGCCAGGAGTGGATGTGTCATGGGCACAGCCAATTGGGTATGAGAACAACATTAAATCAGGCATAGTGTGACATAGGAACCTGGGTGTCCAAAAGAGGGCAGTCATAGGGGATGCTAGGGATGGTGGCCAAGCACAGCGACACTCACCACAGCTGCAGGAGCGGACAGTCCTGCTTCCCACTGAGCATGGCCTAGGGGGCAGGTAGGTGCAACAGGATCAGGTGTTGCAAATTTTAAAAGAGAAACAGATTTTAGGTGAAACTTCTTTAACATTTAGATACTGGCGACTGGTTCCATTTAAAAGTTAAGAACAGGGCTGCGTGAACCGGGACTAGGGACACAAAGTGCACATGCAGTACATCCCTGCGGTATGGCTGTGGAGTACTGAGAAAGCACATCCCAGACAGAGAACCCACCACACAGCACGCATCTGCTGTTGTCAGAGTACGCCGTGCACTAACCTGCTTGCCCGAGGTGCAGTGTGGCCTGGGTGTGGCTGTGAAACACACACACGACGTAATCCAGCAGATCCCGGGAAACCCCCCTCTTTGTGCCAGGCCCTTACAAAGACTCCCAGAACCCCATCCTTTCATCCACAAACCACACCCACTGCCATCACGGCAAACCCCGCTCAGAGCTGCCCTGCAGAGGGTGAATCATGGAAGCAGATAGCCTCATCCTCTTCCTGTGCATCAGCTGTTGGGAGGGAACCAAAAACCTTGCAGTTAGCAGTCTAAAGGTTACCGGACAGTGTCAGCAGGGCTGGGCATTCCACAAGGTGGTGGTAGCAGTGGTGGTAGGTAGATGCCATTGAATTGGCTCTGACTCCGAGCGACTCTGTGTACAACAGAACCAAGCACTGCCCAGTCCTACGCCCTCCTCGCCATTGTTTTCCTGTGCGAGCCCTGTGACAACCACAGTGGCATTCCATCTCTGCTTCACCGGCCCTCGACTTTACCACGCATACTGTCCTTCTGCAGGAAGCAGGCTGGCATCTAGTCCCAGAGACTCAGAGCTCTCAGAGTCGAGTGGAGTCAGGATTTGAGTCCAGATGGTCTGGTGCCAGGCAGAGCCCACACGCCTACACAGCAACACAGCTGATGTGGTTCTGCTCCTGGGACATGCTTACATGGAGACAGCACACACATTTCACTTCCCTTCATTGTAACAAAAGCACATACATGCATATTGTTCACTCATCTTCTAGCAAAGAGCTATCGACCCATCTTCCATCCATCCATCGATCCATCCATCCATCTATCCACCCACCCATGCATCTAGCTACCCATCTATCCATCCAACCATCCATCTACCTATCCATTCTATCCATCCACCCATTCACCCACCCACTCACTCATCTATCCATTATCCATTCATCCACCCACCCAGCCACCCACTCATCCACTCATCCTCCCCTTCATCCATCAATCTATCCATTCATCCACCTACCTAACTACTTAATTACCATCTACCTCTCTTTGTCTTTCTTTCACCTGCATCGTTTTCTCTTTATATCTTTACCTTATAATGTATATCTACCCTTCATCCTTCCTTTCTTTGGTCTGCTTATCCATCTGCCTTTTTCTCTGTCACTCACTTACCTTTCTTTGAATCTGTCTACCTCTCTACTTACCTACCTATCTTTCTACCTATCCACCTGGTTACCTGTCTATCTATCACCTACCTTGCTTTTTATTTAACTACTTGACCACCAGGAGCCCCGGTGGTGTAGTGGTTACAGGTTGGGCTGCTAACCACAAGGTCAGCGTTTTGAAACCATCAACTTACCCATGAGAGAAAAATGAAGCATTCTACTTCTAAACAGAGTTTTAACCTCAGAAATGCACAGGGACAGTTCTACCCTGTCCTATGAGTCAGAATCTACTTGATGGCAGTGAACTTTTGAGATCTATCTACCTCCATAGCTACTTTTATTCCTGTCCTCTAAGTATCTCCCTGCATCTTCCTACCTATGTATCTACTTCTTTTTACTTACCTGCCTATGTGTTGACCTACCTATCTTCTATTTACCTATCTACCTGTCATCCATCCATCCATCCATCCATTTGCCTACCCATTTTTCTATTGGCCAGTCTTGGCATTTTCTCCTCCCGAAGGTACTTGAAGAATTAGCATTTGAAAAATGCTAAAAATGGTGGGAACAATTTAGTTGAAAACACCTAATCATGCCCACTATCGTTTACTAAGAAAGTGAAACAATTGCTTTGAAAGACACATGTGCATACCCTGCATCTAGAACCCTGGAAACCTTGGCTTAGTGGGCAGGACGCGTGCTCTCCATCACGTGCCCTCCCCACTTGGGTTCTGTACAAGTACAGATGTCCGCATTAGCTTGATGGCATTTAAACACACAGCCCACTTAGACATAACCACATGCTTGCATATAGCTAGGTATTATGCCAACAGAAGTGCTAATTCTCCCGGCCAATTACTAAAGGCTTCCATTCCAGAATGGCCCTCTGGGTCATGGGAACAAGCCTGCACTGTTGCATTTCCAGTGGCCCGGCCTGCCTGTGGAGGCTGTGTGCTCTCGCGCAGACCTGCTCAGGAAACAGGTTAATCGGGTCTTCATCTTGAGGAATGAACCAGACCCTTCCTCCCTCCCCAGTGTCCAGGGAGGGGAGTGGGCAGCTGGGGAGTGCACTTTGTTGGTGCTCTGATGCCCCACAAGTGGAATTTGAGCTGCAGGACCAGTTCTCCCTTCCCCTGCCCTGCCCCCAATGGGGGAAAGGTGTGTGGGACTCCCAGGCACCATTACCCCCAGATCCTCACGTGGTAGAGGGAGCCCTGCTTCCCTACAACCCTCCCTCTCCTCCAGTGATGACCTTTGTACTAAATCAAGTGCCACCAGTGCCTGGCTGTCTACTTCTGTAAAGAGCGACAGTCTCAAAAACCCACAGGGGCAGCTCGACCTGTCCCATAGGGCCCGTCTGAGTCGGAATCCACTCGATGGCGTTGACTTTGAGGGCACGGGGTGACTCCAGCAATTCGGTGATTAACCACTTGCTGGAAACCCCACCTGCGGAGTGGCCCCTGGGCGCTTAGGCCCATCAATGTGCACGTGAGAGCGCACAGGCTCTCCTCTGCACCCATGGGGGCGTCATTGCCTGCGAGGGACAGCCCCCACTTCCCACTGGGCCTCAGAGACACACGTCCACAGTGCAGGGAAAGAGGGCAGGCTCCGGTTCACAGAGCCCTCCTGCCTCACTCTCCCTGCTGGGCTGGAGGGAAAAAAGAGAAAGCTCCCCTCTCCCAGGCGGTGCACAGCAGGGTCCCCATTGCTCAGAACTTCCTTCCAGCCTGGTCCAGGGCTACCACAGCCCTCTCACACTTGCCTGTGTGTGTGTGCGCACGCATACACAACCTTACACCTGAGCCTGCTCCTGCAGCAGGGGCACACCAGGAACAAGTGTCTTCCGGTGTGCATGCGATCGCTCCCTGCTGTTAAACTCAGTCTGCCAAGCACAATGGCAAGGAGCTGACCTTCCCCACACCCAAGGCCCGCATGGCTGCCTGGTGTGAGTGACACCCTCACGTGTGGGCAGGCATGTCACCGGCGCCCTCTGTCATCCCCCAGCACCCTCTGAGGCTGATAGGATCTAGCCCATGCTGTTGTTGTTGTTGTTGTTAGGTGCTATGAGTCACTGCGAACCCATCTCGAACCTATGCACAACAGCATGAAAGATAGCCCATTCCTGCCCCACCCTCCTAATTGCTCTGTGTTCATCTGAAGGGTGGGAAAAGTGAGGCCGGAAAGTAATGTAGGACCCTTTCTTGGCTTCATCTCATTTGGCCTGCAAACATCTGGCCTCTGCCCACTATCCCATCCTACCAGGAAAGAGGAGACCATGTATCAGACCGAGACTGGCTGCCACGCTTTCGTCAGCTTCCCAGTTTGGGCTCCTTCCTAAAGGGTGCTGGCTCAGGAAGCTCTGAGCATCTGGCCAGAAGACTTCGAGGCGGCTTACCACCCAGAACACACCCAGCACTTTTCGTGGGCTCCTTGCCCTTGGGAACCTCCCATCCATGCCCCATGCATGCTCAGGCTCAAGGAAGCTGTTTATTTAGCTTGGGAGCCAAGCGGTTCTACGGACCTTGGCTGTCGTCTTTTAAGAAACACAGCCTCTTGGTTCCTGTGTTCCCTCTGAAATGCATCTGCTGTCACTTAGAAACCAAACCCAATTCTCCGTCACCAGCCAAAGAAACTGCTGTCCTGGTGGCCATCTGAGCCGAGCAGGCAGTAACCAGGGCCGGGAGGTGGAAGCCGTGGCAGCCTTCCCAGGGGTCATGATGAGGGCAGCTGGGAGATGAAAGCCTTGGCGTGGACCACTGGAGTCAGACATTTGGGGGACAGGGTCCAGGCCCCATGGGAACTCAGGGGACAGGAGAGCCTGCATCCCGCTGGGAGTGATCTGGGAGCCCCGATGCCCCTGGGGCACCAAACGAACAGTCTGGAACTATATGTGGGGTCACCAAGCTGCTTCCATCTGGCCTCAGGGTCCGTCATGGACCCAAGCCAGCATCTTATTGCCATAGTCCAGAAAGTGTCTCTGGAATCGGTGAGTCATGGGGGTGGGGGTGGGGGGTTGGCGCAGCAGGGAGCCAGCCCAGTCACGTGGCTCCTGAAGGAGGCTTTGGGCTATGGCCTAAACAGGAAGCCTGCCTGGCTTTGCAGGACAAGTCTTCAGTGGTGAGGGGCAGGGCAGGCCTGAACTCTTAGGGGGAGATGTGTGCTCGGACTGCTCTGACGAGAGGGGACGTGTCTGCTGTTGGGAACCAGTGAGCCAATTCCTCTTAGTGTCGACCCTCCCGGATGGAAAGGGTAGAACAGCCTTGAAGGGTTTCCAAGGTTGTCCTTTCTGTGCAAACAGAGGGGCACATCTTTCTGCAGCAGAGCAGCAGGTGGGCTGTTCGATCCCCCGAACTTCTTGTTAGTTAGCACCCTAACCTCTGCATCACCTGGGCTCCTAATATTATAAAAGAAGTATGTGAAAAATATAATATTTCTAAATTTCCAGTTTATTCTGCTTCCTTCTCCACCCCCTGGGGGTTCTGAGACCTGCTCCGGGGTAGGGACTACTTTAAACGGAGACTCAGCTCACCTCCACAGGGGCAGTGGGTGAGCCAGCGCTCTGAGGTTGGGGGCGAGGTGGGGGGGAGGTCTCAGGATCCCCAGAAGGTGGGAGCAGGCTGCTCATCAGAATGCAGTGAAAACTATCCAGTCAGTTGCTGGCTCACAGCAATCCTATAGAACAGGGTCAAACTACCCCTGGGGGTTCCCAAGACTAACTCTTTACTGGAGTAGAAAGCCTCATCTTTTCCCCTAAAGAGTGACTGGTGGCTTCGAACTGCTGACCTTGCAGTTAGCAGCTCAGTGCACAACCACCTGGTGTCATAAAAAGTGTGGCCATCTGCTTCCCTAAGAGGACAAGCTTGGAAACCATGTGGGGCAGCTCAACTCTGTCTTAGTGGGTTTCCACTAGTCAGAATCAACATGACGCCTTTGGGGTTGAATTTTCAGGGGAGCAGGTCTTTAGATCTTTCTCTTGCAAAACCTCTGGATGAATTTGAACCAGCAACCAGCCAAACACCTAACCGTTGCACGACCCAGGGTCTGGAGGGTCCCTCTAGATCAGTGGTTCTCATCCTTCCTAATGCCGCCACCCTTCACTACAGTTCCTCATGTGGTGGTGACCCCCCACCATAAAATTATTTTTGTTGCTACTTCTTAACTGTCATTTTGCTACTGTTATAAATCAGGCGATCCCTGTGAAAGGGTTGTTCGACTCCCAAAGGGGTCACCACCCACAGGTTGAGAACCGCTGCTCTAGATCCAAGTACAGACTGCTGCAGTACTAACCAGAGTAAGCAGAAGCTCAAGAAGAGCCTTGACAGGCGGATCGACACAGTGGCTGCCGCAGTGAGTTCAAGCAGCACAATTGGGAGGATGGCTTAGGACTGGGCGGTGTTTCCATCCATTGTGCGTAAGGTTTGCTATGATTCAGCACCGACCCCACAGCACCAAGTGACAAACTGGGTGGGAGCTCATGGGTTAGCACAACCTGAAATGCAAGGCCCACTGGTATGACCCCCTCGTCTGCATCGCCAGCAGCCCTGTAGCCACTGCTGGTGGTGAAGGGGCATCCCGTCGTGGCTGGAATGTGCTAAGGGGTCAGTAGATCCACCTTCAGGAAATTGGACAGGGCTAGGGAGGCTGAAGCAGGCAGCCCAGAGCTGAGCCAGTTGGGGAAGGAACACTAAGCCTCATAGTTGTGGGCTTTCTCTGGTGATTCATGGCGGCTGGCCAGGGGATGCCTTTGGGACCCAGCGAGAAACATGCAAACACAACAGTCTCTCGAGCCTCCCAGCCAGTGAAAGCTGGTCTCCACCTGGGGCACTGATGGAGCTGTCGTTACCAGCACCCACAGTTAATCACACACACTTCCCACCCGTTTCTGCACCATCAGCAGCAACAGCAGCAGCAGGATCCACTTTGCAGATCCCCTCTTGGGTTGGCTCACGGTCAAGTCTGAGGGATCAGGCCCAATCCTACGTCTTAGCCTACTTCCTTTCCTTTTGAGACACAGAAGGTCACTGAGGGGAGAAGGGGGACAAGCCAGGACAATCACAACCCCCATGGGTTTCATGGAGGGCAGACCAAACCCTCTGTTCTTGAGTCCACCTGAGCAGTGACTTTCTAAAACAATGGTACCACCCCTACCTTCTTTTGTTGAGGTGAAAAACATACTTCACAAAACATAAGCGAACTCACCAATTTCTATATGTACAATTGAGTACCTCCTGCTTGTCCAGGCAGAATGCACCTTAGAAGTGAGAATAGCAGCACTTCGTCTCAAGTACGTAAGGGCATGCCATCGGAGGGGAAGAACCTCATGCTCGGTCAAGTAGAGGGTATTCCAAAGGAGACAGCCCCTCGTTGAGATGGATGGACACAGGAAGTGCAACAATGGGCTCAGACGTAGCAGTGACCGGCGATGGTGCAGGACTGGGCAGTGTTCTGTTCGATCGTACAGGGTCAGAATCAGCCACGCAGTACCTCACAGCAACACAATTCAATGGCACGGACCACATTTTTCAAGTTGTGCCGATCACGTATTAGTAAAAGGAAAGAGAACAATTGCTTTTCAGATGGGAAGAAGGCTGAGGAAGGGGAGGGAGAAAAGAGACCTTGAGCCACAGGGGTGTCGGTAAACTATCCAAAGCCAGGGTAGAGTTAAGAGTACCTGTGTCATCAGCCCACTGGTAGTTCACACCCAACTGAACTACTGTGAATGAGCCAGTGCATATGGGTGTACCAAGTGGGGTGCATGGGAAGTCTGAGAGGGCAGCTCCGGGACTCGAACCACATCCCTCTCTGCCCCTTTGACTCTGCTGTGCTCTGCAAAAGCTTCTCTCTGGCTCGTTTCCCTACATGGAGCCAAGACTCATCCCCTATAGCTCTTTGTATTCCAGTATCCATGTCTACCCCTCCAGAACAAAGCCTGGATCATGCGTGCCCTTAGACCAGTGGTTCTCAACCTGGGGATCGCGCGACCCCTTTGAGGGTCTAATGACCCTTACACAGGGGTTGCCCGATTCATAACAGTAGCAAAATGACAGTGATGAAGTAGCAACGAAAATGTTATGGTTGGGGGTTCACCACAACCTGAGGAGCTGTAGTGAAGGGTCGCGGCATTAGGAAGGTTGAGAACCACTGCCTTAGACTAACCCGTGTGTCCAGTGGGGAAAGGGATTTTCTGATTGGCCTGCTGGGGTCACATACCCCGATTGATTGGCTCCACAAACATGGGTGGGGTCTTTCCTGAATGCATTCTGCCTATAAACGTTTGCTTGCCAGTAGTCGGGCCTATAGGAACGCATCCTGCCCAGAGGACACTGGCAGACTAAGGAAAGCACGATTGGTGGTGGGTGGTGGGAGGGTCCAGTCCATTTCCATCCTATTTACATCCTCTGAAAGTCTTCCAGTTGCGTCAGCATCACTTGCTATCATTTCTCAAACACAGTGTCAGATTATTTGCAAAGGCCGTCAGCTACCCGGGAGCCAGAGAGATAAGCATGATGCTTTTCAGTTAGTCTCCTGGATGCAGGACACAGCATCAGGATTCAGATTCTAGTTCACTGCTTCTCCAGGGCCCACCCTTGTGGGTCAAATCCGGTGGGCAGTGGTCACGCTGGCCCCTGCTCCTAACACTGTGTCTCTCTGTCCACCCCTCCACAGGGCATTTACAGCTGCATCCACGGGGTGCACATTGAAGAAAAGAAGAAGTCGCCCGACTTCAATCTCACGGGCTCCCAGAGCAACATGCTCAAGCTCCTCAGATCGGCCAAAAACATCTCCAACATGTCCAACATGAACTCCTCGCGGATAGACTCACCCAAGCGAGCCGCCGACTTCATCCAACGAGGCTCCCTCATCATGGACATGGTGTCCGACAAGGGGAACCTGATCTACGCAGACAACCGCTCCTTCCAGGGCAAAGAGAGCATCTTTGGGGAGAACATGAACGAACTCCAGACGTTTGTGGCCAGCCGGCACAAGGATAACCTCAACAACTACGTGTTCCAGGGACAGCACCCTCTCACCCTCAACGAGTCCAACCCAAACACGGTGGAGGTGGCAGTGAGCACGGAGTCCAAAGGGAACTCCAGGCCCCGACAGCTGTGGAAGAAGTCCATGGACTCTCTACGGCAGGACTCCCTGACCCAGAACCCAGCCTCCCAGCGAGAGGAGGGGACCGTGGAGAACAGGGCCCACCCCCTAAAGAGCCCCAGGTACCTTCCCGAAGAGGTGGCCCACTCGGACATCTCAGAAACGTCGAGCCGGGCCACGTGCCATAGAGAGCCGGACAACAAGAACCACAAGACCAAGGACAACTTCAAGAGGTCCTTGGCCTCCAAGTTCCCCAAGGACTGCAGCGAGGTGGACCGCACCTACCCCAAAGCCAAAGGGAGCTCCCCCAGGGACAAGATCTACACCATTGATGGGGAGAAGGAGCCCAGCTTCCACCTCGACCCGCCCCAGTTCATCGAAAACGTGGCCCTTCCCGAGAACGTGGACCTGCCAGAAGCCTACCAGGACCACAGCGAGACCTTCCGCAAGGGGACCGCCACGCTGCCGATGAACAGGAACCCGCTCCACAATGAGGACGGGCCCCCCAACAATGACCACTACAAACTGTACTCCAAGCACTTCACCCTGAAGGACAAAAGCTCCCCATGCAGCGAGGGAAGCGACCGGTACCGGCCGAACTCCACGCACTGCAGGAGCTGCCTCTCCCACCTGCCCACCTACTCGGGCCATTTCACCACCCGGTCGCCGTTCAAATGCGATGCCTGCCTGCGTCTGGGGAACCTGTACGACATCGACGAGGACCAGATGCTCCAGGAGACGGGAACCCCAGCCACCCAGGAGGAGGTCTACCCGCAGGACTGGGCCCAGAACAACGCCCTGCAGTTGCAAACGAACAAGCTGAGGATTAGCCGTCAGCATTCCTATGATAACATCCTGGACAAGCCCAGGGAGCTCAGCCTCAGCAGGCCCTCCCGGAGTATTAGCCTCAAGGACCGGGAACAGTTCCTGGAGGGAAACTTGTACGGCAGCCTCTTCAGTGTCCCGTCTAGCAAACTCACGGGGAACAAGAGCTCCCTTTTCCCCCAGGGTCTGGAGGACAGCAAGAGAAGCAAGTCCCTCTTGCCAGACCACTCCTCCGACAACCCTTTCCTCCACTCCCACGGGGAGGACCAGCGCCTAGTCATTGGCAGATGTCCCTCTGACCCTTACAAACACTCGCTGCCCTCCCAGACAGGGAACGACAGCTACCTGCGGTCATCCTTGAGGTCTACGGCTTCCTACTGTTCCAGGGACAGCCGGGCCCACAGCGATGTGTATATTCCAGAGCATGTCATGCCTTATGCTGCAAATAAGAGTAATGTGTACTCTGCCCCCAGGGTTTTAAATTCCTGCAGCAATAGACGCGTGTACAAGAAAATGCCTAGTATCGAATCCGATGTTTAAAAACGCTTTCATTGATGTTTTATCTATAGGGAAACATACACAATCGGCAGCGTTCTGGAGGGTCAGAGGCGGGTGTCCAATAACACCCCCTGTGAAGAAGAAGAGGAAGAAGAGGATTTAGGGAGGTATATATAGATATAGATATATTTTTTCGTTTTGTTTTCTGTTTGTCTTCTGTTGGCTCTATTTGCACATGGCTCCATGCCATTGTCTCCCACTCGAGAGAGAATCTCGGGGGCGGTGGGGAGGGTGGGGGGTGGGGGTGCCGAGCATGGAAGATACAAGGTAGGCAAATCCTCAACCAAAGCGAGAAAGGGGGAGGGCAAGTCTCCGGACAAGCCCACTGGGTACGTTGGCAGAAACGATGCGTTGGACGCCCATGGTGACCGTATGATTTCCTGTACTCCAAATGCCATTACGAGCGGTCCACCCTGTGATTTCCTCCTCAGAAACGCCTCGCGGTTTCCCTACTACCGAATAAGCAATATGGTATGCATGTTAATCTGACACCGTCAAAAATAAAACCGTTAAGAATGCATCTGCTCTGTAGCGAGATTGACATGCGCAAGAGATTAGGGAGTTTGGCTTGTAACCCTTTCAGCTTTATCGTATGCCTTCCATCCCAGCCCCACCCCCCTTCCTTCCCGACCCAACCCCAGGACATCAGGCTCCTGCCCAAAGACAAGCCCGTAAGTGTGATGACCACGGCAACCCTACTGCTTCCATCAGAGGGGAGCCCAAGCCACATTGAAAGGACAAGACACGGCCGATAGGCGGAGAGCAAGAGGCGGGTGGCTGGATGTCCCTGTGTGAGTGTCCCTGGCTTGGGTCTCAGCGTTGCTGCAGCCGCGTGCACTGGCACGCTTGCATCTCAAGTCTGTGTGCATCTTCTGTCTCTGGTAGTGGCCGTTGTAGATTTCCCGAAGACTCCAGTGTAAGTCTGCGTCTTCCCTTCTGGTGTTGACTCAGGGTTGTATAGTATCTGTGACCCCTTCCCTCCCAGCCAGACCACCACTTAGGAAGCCCCTGAGCCGTCGCAGGGGCCTCTCGGTGACTCGTGGGCTATTGCTGCCCCGAGTGCCCAGCAGCCACCTAGGTCCTGTTGTCTGTGGGAGGCACCTGCCCTCCCGCCACTTGACTGTATCTTCCTTCACGTCACGGAATTCCCTTGGATGCTCCTATTGCCACCCCAGCCTCCTCCAATCAGAAGGCTACCAGAATGCGGGGCGCATTCAGGCCTGTTTCCTGCTGAGCCTCCTTCCAGTCTCCGCTGAGCTGCGTCCTCTCTTCTGGAACATCGGCCCCAGCACAGAGCTGTGGAAAGTCTCCTGGGCATCTGTCATTTCTGAGTCACCTGCAAGAACTCCGTTTTGACCCTGCTCACCCCCATGCACTTGTGATAGAAAACAATGCCTGTTTAAAAAAACAAACCATGCCCTTGGCACAATGGCTGGCATTTCAAGGTATGGAAAGCGAGTGTTTTTAGGCTGGGGTGCCCAGCTGGGCTGTGATGTTGTCTAGCTTGCCATGAGGTGGAATCAGACTCGACAGCAGAGGGTTGGTTTTACTTGGATACTTTACTGAACCTAGGTTTCCTATATATTATCTCATCCTTAAAATATGAGCCCCACAAACAAATTTAAGCAGACATTCCCTATCATCCTAATATCTCCACTAATGCACTTTAAGAATGTGTTGTTGGAAGGTGCAGCCGGTTCTGATTTGCAGCGACCCCACGTGACAGGGTGGAACTGTCCCATAGGGTTTTCCAGAGGGTAGCTTTCTGGAAGCAGACTTCCAGGCCTTTCCCCACCACAGCTGCACCCCCAGGGAGATGGGGGAGGTTGGACTTGCCATCCCTTTGGTTAGCAGCCAAGAGCTTGACCATTGTGCCTCCTAGCCCTCCTTTAAAAACACTGCTGTACCCACCCTTTGGGAAGAAGAGCCATCTGTTTTTGGAGAGGGCCCAATACTTTCTTGGGGTCCTGCTGTAGAAAACCCAAGCTACAGCCCTCTCGCCTGATGCTTGCTGGTGTTCTGCTGTAGCTTTTGTTGAGACTGGTGGCCATGGGGACGGAGCAGCAGATTGAAGAATCCCCTGGCTGGGTTGCCCAGGGTGAGCTCTCTCTGTGGGTGGTAATTCTCTATAAATGAGGAAGTGGCAAGGATGGTTCTCTTACTACCCATGATTCACGGGATGGTGCCATCTTGGGGAAAACACCCCCAAGTCCAAACCCCACCCCACCCATTTCCATAGAGTTAGGAGTTCCCAAAGGGTGGCCCCATCTTTACCAAAACAGACTGCCTCGCCTTTTTGCCGAAGAGCTGCTGGGGGCTTCCAACCACTGACTTCTTTGTTAGCAGCTGAGTACTTAAGCATTGTACCTCCATCCAGGGTTCCTGAAGAGGACCCCCAGTCTGCAGTGTTTCTGTGGAAAGCGGTGGCCTGGCAGGAAGAGAGGTTGAGGGAGGCAGTGGGGAAGGAAGTCTTCCAGTGTGCTTGGCAGCCAAAGGGCAGAAGAACCTGCCTGGGTGCCGGTGAGAGACGTGCTTGGAAATTGCATTTTATGTCTTGGATATGGCTCCATGGCTACCCTACATCCCAACGATAGCAATGCTGGATTGAAGGACCTGGAGCAGTCACCAATTTCACCATCATTCGAGGGACCCTCTCCCTGAAGAGTCCTTTAGAACGTTCTGCTTTTGCTATCTACTCCCCAGCCAGGATCACCTCTGCTCCCTGACAAGACTGCGGGTCTTAACATGAAATGAATCAAGAAGTCACTCCCTCTGTCATCCTCTGGTGTTCTCAGCACCCAGGGGTGGGGGCTACCAAGGGCTACAGACACCTTTGGGGAGAGTGCAAATTACCCCTCAACGGATCCTGCAGACCAAAAAGTTTTCTCCTAGTAATAGTGCTTTCTCTGCTGTTAACCCCATGCTTCCCTGGATAAACAAACGAATCCTGGGGCTTTGGGACGAACCAACAGAAACAGGGAGGGAGAAAGTGTGTGTCCCTTTTGACATCCCGAGAGCTCTTCAAAGAAGCCTGGAACTGGAAGGTGCCTCTAATCAATGCACCAGGCTCCCTCCATCACCAATCCATCAGCTTTATCACCCCAGCCATGGTAAAGCAGACCACTGGATCAGATGAGCAGTTTCCAAGTGAAAGGAAACCATGCGGAGCTCATCAGAGGCAATCCCAGTCCACTGGCTCTTGGCGGAAAAGGATGCCAAGGAAGTCATTTTCAACCACAAAGGGCACCTGTGGGGCGCTGGGTGAGGGAGAGGTCCATAGTGGCCCCACCCACCCGTGGAAACCACCGATGAAGGTTCTCATGGCTTCGTCAGCCCCAGGTGGGGCCTGAGATGTGTTGACCATCGGGAAACAGTGTCTGGAAGCCCAAAATTGTGCCCCCGTTCAAGTCAGAATTGGTACCCGTGGTGATTCTTGATTACCTCCCAATGGGATCCCCAGGAGGCACACGGGGAGACCGAGAGATGGCCGAGTGGCTGTCCCCAGGTAGATTCTAGGGAGTGAGCCCTGCCCTGCTGCTGTTGTCATTGGGGGGCATGGAGTTGGTTCTAACTCATGGTGACCCGAGATACAACAGAAGGAACCACCACCGGTCCTGCAGCATCGCTCTGAGGTCTGAGCCCCGCGATGCAGCCGCTGTGTCCATCCATCTCGTTGAAGGCCTTCCTATGTTTGCTGCCCCTCCCCTCTGTCAGTCCTTCTTGTTGATGGTCTTCCTACTCTGCACTGCCCTCAAATGTGAAGTCCTTCCCCGGGGACTGGTCTCTCCTGACCACATAGCCGGAGTACGTGAGACAAAGTCTCGCCATCCGTGCCTTGGAGGAGCAGTCTGGCTGTAAGATAGAGCTGTTTGCTCTTCCAGCAATCTGTGGTACTTCCACTCTTCCTCTGCCCTGGGCACCCTGTACCCAGTGGCCATCAAGTCATATCTGGCTTACTGTGGCCCCGCAGGGAACGGGCAGACCTGTGCTCCTTAGGGTTTTCAGTGGCTGATGTTTGTGCGTCTGAAGAGAGGTGGGGTGGGGGCAGGTAGGTTGCTTTCTTCCGTGGTGCCTCTGGGTGAGTTGCAACCTTCACCCTTCCAGTTGGCAGCTCAGCCTGCTAATTGCTCGCAGTCCCCAGGAACTCTCAGAATGTTCTGGGTTTCCTGGAAGGTAGTGTTCCTCATGGTTGGGTGCACTTGTAGGTTCTCAGACCACTTCTGGTCTCAGGACACGGATCAAGCAGGTTCCTAGTGGGGTCTGGCATGGGGTGAGGAGCTCTTTGTTCATCCCTAGTCTTCCCTCTGGTGAGTGTCACCGCATGCTCCCCACCTGCACCCCACCCCTCCCCGCCCCAGTACAAGTGGGTGTCTTCTCGGGTGGTATTTGGTTCTCTCTCTCAAAGGGTGCCCATGAAGTTTTAATTGTTTGCCTTTTCTGATGGAAGCATTAAAATTCACCCGTTGCAGCAAAATCAGTCAAATCAATTCACACTTATTTTGTTCTGGGGGAAGGGGCTGGGAGCAAATTACACCTTGTTTACAGATGAAATTGCTTCACTTAAATGGGACTCTAGCCAAGGCACCTAATTAGTCAAAAACTGCACGGCAGCCTCACATCGTTCATACTGCTTGATAAGTCTGCCACCCTGCATCCTTCCTGCGAAAGGACAAATGCCCTGGAGACTTTGCCAATAGAATTGCTAATGAAAGGGGGGAAAGAAGAAGAAAGAAAAGTGGTGCTGAAATGGTGATTAAAAATGTATCTCCTTTAAACCTAACGAAGTGCCGCTTTCATCATCCATTGTCATATAAATAAATGCCCCGCCTGGGGTCCCTTGGCAGTCGCAGACCGAAATAAATGCTTATTTGCGAAACCTAAGGATGGTCCAGAGGCGCCGGATGGATTTATTGCCTGTCCCTGGTCCTTTGTGCATAGCTGTGCATACCCTCTCCCAAAGGGGGCCGCGAGTGCCTTCTGAAACGGAGCCTGCTGGGATGAAGTGGGGCCGGAGGAAACAATTGGACTACAAGGAAGAATCTGGAAAAACGAAAATCCAAATCAATGCGGGTCAAATCCATCAGTGGACGTTATTTCTCAGGAGCAAAGGGTTCTTTATAAGAGGCAACAGATAACGAAGAGAAAGGGGGGGAAATGCCGACACAAAAGGAGCGCTATTTTCATTCAAGACAAAGTTGGGGTT